TCCCCCTCTCTCTGGGTCTCTGTCTCCCCCTCTCTCTGGGTCTCTGTCTCCCCCTCTCTCTGAGTCTCTCCCCTTCTCCCTGGGTCTGTCCCCACCCCCACCCCCAGTCTGATTTTCACTGTTCTCTCCTCTTTTGGGGTCTCTGCCCCTCTCAGGAGGTCTTTTATCTCTCACCCCTCGGGCTCAGCCCCTTCCTTTTGCTGTTCCATCTTTTCAGGGGTCCTCTGAAGTTTCTTCTAGCACCTTCGCCTCAGAAGGGAAGAGGAGGGGCCTGGGCTTAAAAGTGGGCGAGGCTTTAACTCGACTTAGAAAGAGGCGAGGCTCGTGGTCAGTGGAGGGGCGGGGATCCCGGCCTTGGTCCTGAACCCTGCAATCTAAATCCTCACCCCTACTTTTATGAAGGGAGCGTGGTGGCTCCATACTATAAACAGCAGAGATGAAGCTCTCTGCTACCCTGAAGATTAAAACAAACAAACCAGGAGTCCTGACCTAATCCCTCTCCTCCCTCAGACACAGGAGTCCCTGCCCCCAGCCTCCTCCTCCCTCTGACCCAGGAGTCCGGGTCCCCAGCCCCCTCCTCCCTCAGACCAGGAGTCCAGGCCCCCCGCCCCCTCCTCCCTCGGACCCAGGAGTCCCTGCCCCTGCCCCCTCCTCCCTAACACCCAGGAGTCCAGGCCCTCCCGCCCCCTCCTCCCTAAGACCCAGGAGTCTGGGGCCCCAGGCCCCTCCTCCCTCGGACCCAGGAGTCCAGGCCCCCGCCCCCTCTTCCCTAAGACCCAGGAGTCCAGGTCTCTAGCCCCCTCCTCCCTCAGACCTGGGTCCCAGCCCTTCCTCTCTCAGACTGGAGTCTGGCCCCAGCCCCGTCCTCTCTCACCTGGGAGTCTAGGTCCCAGCCCCTTCTCCCTCACCCTCTGGAGTCTGGACCTCCATCCCCCAGCCCCCTCCTCCTTCACCTCAGACTCTAGGTCCCAGCCCCTCTTTCCTCCCACTCTGGAGTCCCGACATCAGCCTCTCCTCCCTCAGACCTGCAGTCCGATCTCCTTTCTCTTGCTTTGTATACCTGGTCGTGTTCCTCAGTGGGGGCTGGTGCTGTGTATCTCCAGAGCCTCCTACTTTAGGTTAAACAGGCATTTTGTCTGAGAAATCTGGACATTTGGACGCTCCCCAGGATGAAGACAGCAGTTGGACTAGGAGCTTTAGAGACTGGAATTTATTGTAGACTTCTTTGTGGCCTTAGATTTTTCTAGCCTCTGTGCCTCCGTTTCCCTATTTGAGAAATGGGGCTACTATTGCTCACCTTCCTGATTCTTGTGAGCTTTAAAGGAGGCTGTAATAATCACAAAACCTGTGGATTCCAGGTAATCTCAATAAACGACAGCTACTGGTTATTGTGTTTTATTGACAGCAATTGTCACTCTTCTTGGGGGAATTGAAAGGGAGGGAGTGGGATCAGGGATGTTACATTGAGGGGATTGTAATTATTGAAATGAAACAAAGAGTGTGATGTGTTGAATGTAAAACTGATGATCTGCTCTGTACCCCTTCACTCAATTCACAGAAGTAAAAAAAATAATAGATGACTAAAATAAAAAAGCCATTCTTGTCTGCTAGCTAGTAGATTGTGACTTGTTAATAGTTAGCCTTGTTGTTGTTGTTAAGGGCCATCGAGTCGATTCCAACCCATAGCGACCCAGTACAGGGTTTCCAAGGAGCAGCTGGTGAACTTGAATCGCGGACCTTGCAGTTCAAACAGACTTTGCAGTCTGGCGCATTAACCCACAGCGCCACACCAGGACTCCCAATAGACAGCCTTACATACATTTATGTAAGCAATATTTTACTCAGTGCCCACTATGGGTATAAGGCTCCAGTTATGGGCTTACTTGATTAGGCCTCTATACTTGTGGAATTCTCATGCATATAAGTGAACCCACTCAAACTCAAACCACTGAGTCAAATCCAATTTACAGCGACCCTGAATAGAGTATCCCAGGCTGTAAATCTTTCTGGGAGCAGAAAGCCTCCTCTTTTTCCCTCTAAGTAGCTGGTGGGTTTGAACTGCTGACCTTGTGATTAGTAGTCCAGTGCTTATCCTACAGCGCCACCAGGACTCCTTTGCAAGAGAAGCAGGCAATGCATAATGTATTTTTTATAAAAATAAAACAAACCAGCGCATTGCTGTCCAGACGGAGTAGAACTGCTATAGGATTTTGTCTGATGGGATCTTTACAGTGAGTTCCTGGGTAGCCACTGGAGCTCACCCACTGGTGTCCTGGGAGACAGGCCTGACATTTGCTTCGGAAAGGTCACAGCCTTAAAAACGCTATGGACAATTCACAATAAAAAGTGTAAAAATAAATCAATACATAGGATTTAAGAACTGCCAAACTCAAAACCCAAAACCCAACAAAATCCACCACCCTAGGGTGCAGTTCTAATCTGTACGTGAAGTCACCACGAGTCAATATCAGCTCAAGGACACCAAGCAGTAACAAGTTTTACTTATAGTAGCAGACTGCTTTCGGAGTTTTTTTCACGAGACAGCGCTCAATTCCAATGTAAAAGACTGCTTCCAGTTTTATTCAGCTATTGTTCCTCCAGTATCCGAGATCAATGTCAGACTCCACTTGGTCTGATGTTTTCCAGACCGCCGAAGCTAGGAGACGTGAGGCGGGATCTTATGTCGCTAAGGAAATGTCCTGTACCTAGCTTTCAAAATTGACAGGCAAATTCTGAAAGTTAGCCAATCAACTCCAACGTCTAAGAACGCGAGTCTTCCGATTCGTTCGGGAATTCAGCGGTGATTCGTTCGAGACCCGCCCACACCGGGCACGTAGCGCAGGTCTGATTGGCTCGGGTGTTTGCGTTGTTCATCCCTTTGCAAAGAGAAACTGGGGTTACTTCCAAGCTCCTACCCTGCGATATTGGGGCAATGAGTTAGCATTCTCTCTTGGGTGATTTCTGCTCTCTTTGATTGGCTGTGGTTCTGAGCGCGAGCCTTGTCCTCGTTGTCTGATTGGTTAGTACCTTTCCAGTCTATGATTGGCACCTACCGGTTGTTTTGTGACCGCTGTTGACGGTGTAACTTTTCTGATGCCCTCAAGGTGGCAACGTTGGCGTTGGGGAGGATCGGTCCGGGACTACAGATGCAGTGGAGCTTAACGGACTACTAGGCTGAGGGAGACATTATGTTCGGGGGTCTCCTTTGCCCCTCGGAGCCCCTTGTCCCTTTCCCTCTCCATTAGTATCAACCCGTCCCTTTTGATCAACTGCAAGGTCGGCGATTCAAGGTCACTAGCTGCTCCTCGGAAACCCTTCATTCAAGGTCGCTATGGATCCTAACCGACTCGACGGCACTTCACAACAACAAACCGTGGACCTTCAAAGTTTTAAAGTTAGGCCTTGAAGGTCTCCCCAACCTATAGGGGCTCAAGGATTCCATTAAATTGCCACCCAGCATCCCATTCCCCTCCTCCTGTAGGAGCCCCTTGGATTGCTCTGGCCCCCAGCTTTCTCCCTTGAGCCTTTATCACACTCCCTCCTAGGTACATGGGTGGAGAGTTCCTCTCATGCCTATCCTTGTATTCCCCTTCCTGCACCGGTTTTTAGATCCAAGGGGGTCATCCTTGCCTTCCTCTTACAGAATCTCCCCACTTTTAGAGGCTCTTACCTACCTCACTGCCTTCATCCCACCTTAGATTTTGCCCCAGGAGTTACTATCTTCTTGACCTTACCCTCATTTCTAGTCTCTTGGACTGCCCTCTGAAAGGTCAACAGCTATTCAAACCCACCAAGTCTCTCCATGGGAGAAAAACGAGGCTGTTGGTTAAGGTCTGCAGTCTCAGAAACCCTAGAGAGAAGATCTATTTTCTCCCATAGAGTCGCTATGAATCAGAATCAACTCCGTGGCAGTGGGCCTTTTTTGTTTGTTTGTTTAATGCCTTTAGAAGGAGCCCTGGGAGCAGCAGAAGCAATTGACTGCTGGCTAAAAGATTCATAGTTGGAACCCATGCAGCGGGCCTCTCGAAAGAAAGACCAAAGGTTAAAACAAAACAAAACAAAAAATCCATAGCCTCTCAAGTCGATTCTGACTCACGGTGACCCTAGAGGACCAAGTAGAACTGACCCATAGGGTTTCTAAAGCTGTCAGTCTACAACAGAGAAACCCTGGTGGCACAGTGGTCAAGCACTTGGCTGCTAACCAAAGAGTTGGCAGTTCGAATCCAATCATTCCACTGGAGAAAGATGTGATGGTCGGCTTCTGTAGACACTTACAGACTTGGAAACCCTATGGGATCATTCTCTATCCTACCAAGTCCCTGTGACTCAAATCTATTCACAGCAAGGAAACAGACTGCCGTGTCTTTCTCCCATGGAGCAATCGGTGGGTTCAAACCATTCAACTTTTGGTTAGCAGCCAAGCGCTTAACCACTACACCACCAGGGTCCCTCTCATAGAAATTGTTGTTGTTGTTGTTGTTAAGTGCCGGGGAGTCGGTTCCGACTCATAGCGACCCTATGCACGGTTTCCAAGAAGCCACTGATGGATTTGAACAGCCAACATTGTGGTTACTAGTCCTGTGCTTATCTTACAGCCTCACACCAGGACACCTCATAAATATTGTTGTCATTATGCCATCTAGTAGGTTCTTACTCATGGCGACCTGAATCTTGGTATAGCGCTGAAGGATAAAGCACTGGACAGCACGGTCGGTTTGAACCTCAAGGTCAGTGGTTCAAACTCACCAGCCATTCCTTGGAACCCTATATAAGATCGCTGTGAGTCGTAACAGACTTAATGACATTTAACAACAAAAACAGGGTTCCCAAGGAGCGATGGTGGGTTTGAACCACCGACCATGCAGTTCAAACCGACCTTGTGGTCCAGTGCTTTATTCTGACCGTGCAGTGCCACACCAGGACTCCATAAACACTTGTTGTTGTTGTTGTTAAATGCTGTCACCTTCTTGGTTCAGTGGGGTGATCCTTGGGGCCTCCCTCAGCCTCAGGAATTCCCCCACTCTTAGGGCCTTTTCTGGTTACTGGGAAGCCCCGGTATCATTCTCTAGTTCAAAAGTTTCACTTCCAAGTCCTCTCTCACTCTAGGGTTCCCCTATTCTTCTACCTGCCAAGTCTTCCCCTCGTCTTGTTTTATCTTCAGACTCTCCTCCTTTCCTCAAATTTCTCTATCATTCCTCCACACTCTCAGATAACTCTGTGTCCTTCTCAACATTCAGACCTCAACATCTCCAGATTTCCTCTGCCTCCTCCCATCCTAGCATAACCCCCTTCTCCCCATCCTTCCACATCTGGGCCTGCTCTTATCCTCGCAGATACCTCCCCCAGAATCAGCTTTGTGGCCCCCACCAGGAATCTTCTCCCCATTGCCATCACACACGCACACACACATAGCCACTCTTCATTCACACATCCATTTGACTTCAGGGTTCCTGACCCTCTCAACCCTTTCCTCCCTTAGCCCAGACTCAAGATCTGACTGAAGTTCAAGTTCCACTCTTCCACCCCAAAGATGGTCAGAACTTGAGCAAATTACTTATCCTCGCTGTACCTATTTGCTCATCTGTATAATGTAAATTATAGTACTCGCCTCACAAGGATGTACTGATGATTAAAAAGATGTAATCAATGTTTAAACTTGGCTCTCAACATGTTAACTACGTTTTTCATGTTGATGCTTCAGCATTAAAAGCAATGCTTATAGCAAGTTAGAAAATAGGAAAATCAAATGGTGCATGAAGTTATAAAATTAATAACATAAAAACCTTCCTCTATCACCTCCCTCACCCTCTCCCCTAAAGTAACCACTCTTGAGTTTCTCAAATAACTGAAGAGGAAAAAGTTAATACGTACTATGCTGGATATATATGGAATTATTCCAGAGCACACTTAATGAAATAAGTAGGGAACCGAAAAGCGTGTAGAACATCCATCAAATGTTTATTGAGCATGTACTGTGTTCCAGGCAGTACATTCTATTTACCAGGAGAAACAGCACTGAACAAAACAGATAAGAGTCTTTAACCTCATGGAGCTTACGTTCAAGTGGAAAGAGACAAGAAACAAGAAAAATAAGGTGATAAATGCTTTGAATAAAATAAATCAGGGTAAGGAGACAGGGAGGGCCTGTTATGGGAGTAGGCTGGACTGGAGATAAAGGAAGAAGGAACTCATTTGTTAGGAAAGTAACATGGATAAGGAACAGAAAGTGATGAGATTTAACGGATACAGGATACATGAAAGACTCACAGATACAGAAAGGCCCTGAGATGGGAGGGAGGGAGAAATGATTGAATTCTAGTCCTAATTTGAAAGTCAAACTGAGCATTTCTAGGCATATTGGATGTGGAAAAGAGTTGCGAGCACTTGTAAGGTTTTGGTCTGAGTAACTGAAAGAATGGAATTACCTCGTAATGAGCTGAGGAGACTGGGCAGATCAGGATTTAGGCTCTGTTTGGGACATGATTCATAGGATCTCTTCTGTGTTAAGAAAATCATGATCTACATACATGTATACATTACGGAATAAAAAGTTTAATGTGGCATTATGGATTCAATTCTGTCCCCTCAAAACATGTGTCAACTTGGCTGGACCAGGATTCTCAGTACCTCCTCCACTTTGTCATCTGCAGAATTATCCTGCGGGATTGTAAATCCTCACCTTAATGAGACAGGAGTAGAGGTGGTTAAATTAACGAGGAAGGATGCAATAGACGAGGCTGTGTTTTGACTCAATCTCTTTGAAATATAAAAGGAATCGAACACGTGAGCAGAGATCTGAAGGACCTAGTACCACCAAGAAATATGAGATGGGAGTGGAGTGCCATCTTCAGACCCCAGTCCCTGTGCTGAGACACTCCTAGGCCCAGGGGAAGATCGATGACAATGATGTTTCCTCAAGCTGACCCAGAGAGAAAACCTTCTCCTAGAGTGGTGCCCTGAATTCAGACTTCTGGCCTCCTAAACTATGAGGGAATAAAGTCCTGTTTGTTAAAGCCCATTCACTTGTGGTATTGCCGTAGAGGTGATTCAGATGCGTAACAACCCTGGATAGGGTTTCTGAGGAGCAACTGATGGGTTTGAACTGCCAACCTTGTGGTTCAACATCCAGTGTTGACCCTACAACACCACACCAGGAATCAGCAGTAAACAGCTAGGTCATAAAGTAACGGCATTGTGCTTGGGTCTCTGGGGACAAAATGGATGAGAATAATTTTATTTTTTTTAAATATCTACTCAAAAGGAAGGAAGACAAATAGCTTCTAGCAATTAACAATAAACCTCAAATTGAATTTCTTCATTATGTGTTAATAAGGAACAACTTTAAGAAAAGCAGACCCTATAATTGTGGAATCAGCTGATGACAATTTTCAAACACGGATTTTCACAATGCCAATTCATGGAGCACAAGTGATTTTACACAAACATTTCCCAAGAGTGAAGATCTATAAAGAGTCACTTTAGGAAGGGGGACAAAAAGTTTCCTCTTCGGGGCTGTTGCAGTTTCAGATGTGGCTCATAACCACTTTATTAATGAAAAGGTAGCTTCCATTTTTTAAACGGAAAAAAAAAATCATCTTTTTTTTTTTTTTTTTAATTCCCTAAGAGGGGCTTTTTGCTCACAGGTACATATTTTCCTCTGCAGATACTTGAAAAAAAAACCAGAGTGTTCACTGGGGAGGAGAGGGCTAGTGGGTGGTAGAGGAAAGAGGTTCTTTGCTATTCAGTTTATACTTTCATGTGCTGTTTGATTTCCCTATTTTCTAACTTGCTAAAAGTATTATTTTTCATCTTAAAACTTCAACATGAAAAAAAGAGTAGTTAACGTTCTGAGTGCCCAGTTTTTAAATGTTGACTATCTTATTTCGATCATCAGTTTAAACCTGTGAGGTTGTTGTTGTTGTTGTTGTAAGTGCTACTGAGTCGGTCCTGACTCATTACAACCCTGTATAGAGTTCCCAAGTACCAGCTGTTGGGTTTGAACTGCCAACCTTGGGTTTCTCAGTCCAGTGCTGATCCTACGGCGCCACACCTTTATGCAGATGAGTAAGTACTCAGATAAGCTAAATAATTTGTTGAAGGTCTGACAGTCTTTGGGGTGAAAAAGTAGGATTTGGACCTA